TCCCTCTGTTGGGCCTATGTGCCCAGCCTACCTCCTCTTCCCTCTGTTGGGTCTATGTGCCCAGCCTACCTCCTCTTCCCTCTGTTGGGTCTATGCGCCCAGCCTACCTCCTCTTCCCTCTGTTGGGTCTATGTGCCCAGCCTACCTCCTCTTTCCTCTTTTGGGTCTATGTGCCCAGCCTACCTCCTCTTCCCTCTGTTGGGTCTATGCGCACAGCCGACCCCCTCTTCCTTCTGTTGGGCCTATGCGCCCAGCCTACCTCCTCTTTCCTCTGTTGGGTCTATGCGCCCAGCCTACCTCCTCTTCCCTCTGTTGGGTCTATGAGCCCAGCCTACCTCCTATTCCCTCTGTTGGGTCTATGTACCCAGTCTACCTCCTCTTCCCTCTGTTGGGTCTATGTGCCCAGCCTACCTCCTCTTTCCTCAGCTGTCGTCTGACCCTCAGTATCTGTGGGTAGTCCTGCCTCTTCAGTGCTTCCCTTCTGGGTACTCACTCACAGGCACACCCATCCATCCACAGCCACACAGCAGACCACTCACCACTGGAGGAGGCATATGGGACTGAGGCAGGAGTGCCCCCAGAAGGAGCTCACACTCTCTTACAGGCTGCAGATTCACAGTGTTCCTATTCTGTGCAGAAAATACCCCGGCACTTTTCGATTTCGATATGTGATAAATGTCTATAGAGCATACGCACTCCCACCGAAGAGACTTGGCGGCTTCGCCTGTGGTACCTTTCCCCTCCTGCGTCCAAGGGCTGCTTTTCGAACTCCCAGTTTTTGTTAGGGGCATAATCCCATTCTACCTCCTCAGCAGCGATGTAAAAGGTTCTTATCATCCCGTAGGGCTGCTCAGAAGGGTCCCTGTTGCCACAGCTGTTGACCTCATAGATCTGACCCATGCCTCTGTTGAAGTGGTGCAAGGTGGAGCAAAACACCTTGAAAATACCTAAAAAAGAAGGGGCATGGCATTATGCACACAGCTAGATTTTCTAAGCACCTGTGGTCTGCTTTTAGAAACCCTACCCATTTTATTTCAGAATCAGCAATTGGTAAGGTGAACTTTCAAAATACCAATTCTGTGGTATTTTAAAGCCAGACTCCAAAGAAAATAAAGTGCTTTGTATATATTTAGTTCTGGAGGAAAAACATCCTCTGAAGTTCATTTGCAATGGAAAATAACTTCTCTAGATGGTCCTTATTTTTCAAATCTACAAGATGATAATCACTCCAGGAAAATCACTATGAGTGTGATTATTTTAGTCTAGCCTAATTGAAAAAGAACTAGTTACTTGTAAGATGAATATTCTAGAAAAGTTCAAAGTAGGCCATTTTTCTCAAGTCATGGATTTTGCCCTGAAGGATTTCAAAAACTATAAAGCACAATAAATATATAAGGCATTGTTATAAAAGCCAAATGTATTACTTCATTAATGGCTTGAGTAAAGGAGATTCTCAAGGTCAAAGATACATCTACATTATACCAGTTGAAAAAGAAGGAAAAAATCACCTAGATTTCTCTACATAACATCAACAATCATGTCTGAGTGAAATTTATATATTTTTAACCTAAAATTACTCCCATATTGGCATCAGGTAGATATATCATAAGTGAACTCACCGTAAAGCCATACGAAACAAAACTGAGGTATTAATTCTCAATGCAATCATTGGATCAGTAGAGCCTTCCTTTCCCAGATACCCTGCTCTTAGAGGTGAGTGATTACTGTGCCTTTCATTAACCTCCACAATGCACGGAGAGAGAGCTTCAGTCTTGTTTCACATGTAACTCTGCTGTTAAATGCTCCCAAAGTAGCAATTCTGGGTAACAAGCACAGTCGACTTTGTGGGTGCCCAAGCTCCCCCACTGAACAGGATCGTCCTTAGGAAGGGTCTTTGTGAAACTGCAGAGAGGACACCTCTGAGGACTGACGTGTGAAGACCTCCCTGTGGACTTTATCTCTGGTAGCCCATGATGTACGTTCCCATCACAGCTTATCAGTAGTGGAGGAAGTTCTTCTCTAAGTGCAAAAAGATGTCTTCTTTGCAACCTACTTCCTGTGCCTTTCACTGAGAGCACTATTTCAGGACTCTTCTCAGCATATAGGTATGAGAAGGCCTGAGAATTAGTGAAATGACCAAGCTGTCAGGGAGCACAAACTGATGCTCAGCACCAAACATAAACCCAAAAACACTGTTTTGAAGCTCTCTAGAAGCCTCTGGGGCAAATGGTTACAATCAAGCACTAGAGTAAGCTAAATCTCTGAAAATACTCCAAACACCTCGATCTTTGAGTGTCTGTTTCTAAGGGTTACAATTTGGCTATTTCCCAACCTCCTCCCCTCAGTGGACTTGGAAAAATGCATTTAAAAGAACCCCACTGTGTTCAAGGCATCTCCTGGTTTGGGTGATTTATAATCACCTACACTAATGTGAAGAGGTTCAACGCTAGAAGAAATTTACAAGTTTATAATGCAAAGATCATAGAGCTCCTGGCCTCAGGCAGTTTGTGGGCAAAGGTTTTGAAGTTCAAGCTTCAAATTCTTAGATGATGACTAAACTGCATCTGAACTGTAGTTGCAGAGTGAGGTAAAGAAAAAGCTTGTCATTATGTATATCTACAATATACAAATAAAATCTAGTAAGAAAAAAAGAAGTAGCCTGTCCATTACTAAGTGAGACAGAGTTACCAAGTACTCATCTTGGATAGCATACTGGTCTATTAGAAAAAAAAAAATCCCTTTTCAGGGATATTAATTAAGAACATTCACCAGGATTTGTGTGGCAAAGTCATTTATTTATTTTTTTTTTAATTTTTTTTAAATTTTTTTTATTTATTTGAGAGAGAGAAAGAGAGAGAGAGTGAGTGTGTGTGGTGTGTGTGTGTGTGTGGCCAGCTCAGCCCACCAGGGGGCGGGGCTGGCTGGCATGTGGTGCTGGGGGATTGAACAGCAGCAAAGTCATTTAGAGGGTGCCCACTTCCTGCTTTGTGGATGTGGATGTTACCTCCCTGACGCTATGTAACTGGAGAAAAACAGCCAAGAACCTTGGGTTTGAATCGACACTATACCTGTTTCTACATCCGTGAAGTAATCAAAGTCTCCTGGTTGCTTCTGGGTGAGAGTATTTATGAAGATAAGCTGAAATTAAGTCACCAGAGGTGGACTCCTCAGGCTTACCTGCATGGTCTGCCTGCATGAACGCTGTTGTGGCCATGTGGGGAAACAGTGCCAGAGAATCGCGGTGCGTCCCTCGCAGGTGAATGGTGTTCCCTTGGAAATAAACTCCGTGCATGTCAGTGTCGGTACCCATTCCAATCAAGTGCCAGGAAACTCGATCCTTTTTGCACATGGTTAGGCCTGGTTGGCTGCCATACATGTAACCATTAATAGCTAGGGAGAAAGAAGAAGACAGTTAGAGCCCACCATAATTATGTGGATACATGACAAACACCATTCTAGCTAAAGCTCATTGGTGTATGCAGGACAGCGTGTAAGCTGTGTATCAGAGGTCATGGGTGAGCACAAACGATTATCCTTGTGCTTGATGTTCTTAGAGAGAGAAATATGCTTCCCCCCCATTCCATAAGAATGCCCATACTCAGAACAACTATCATATATATAAGTGGCCTTCTGGTATAATCTCATTGTCAAATAAAACAACTTTATGTCTGTCTTTTGAAGCAGTGGTCTTGGTACTTGTACTTATTTATTTATTTTGTATTTTGGTAAGGGTCTACAGGGTCTCACTACTAGATAGGACTCATAGTGATCCGCTGTGTTCAGCCTCTCAAGAGCTGGGATTACAGGCATGTGCCACCACGCCCAGTCTCAACTGCTGTCTCAGTGCGGGGTGGGGGGGGGGGCAGGCCCCGGATGGCAGGCAGGGGATTGAACCTCCAACCCCTGCTTATGCCTAGGCAGGCACTTATTTGCTCGGGCAAATCTGCTGAGCTATTTGGCCGGCCCTGGTATTTGTATTTAAACCTGGTAATATTATTAGAAATTCAAAGAAACCATGGGGCTTATGAGATGAACACAGTTTTTAGAGGGGAAAAAAGTTTGATAATGCTTTTGCAAATAAATGATCTTACTCTTATCCATCAAATGTTAAAAATAGTACTATAAAGTAGGGTAACTTATTGGATGACTTAGTAGAGAATTTTTTATTGGTTTGGAACTCTAGTTTAAAGGTTCTCTTATAATTAATGTGAATATTAAATCGAGATACATAATTATCCTTAAGCATTGCTTTGAAATAAATAGGCTGCATTTCCACAATATTAAAATGAGTTTCACAATGCCAAACCACGTTGGGGCTGAATTTTACATAGTCCACCCAGTTGTTTCATATTTTCTACATAAAGGCCTCTCTGGGGTAAGGAATTACTGTGTCTTTCCATTTCCAGCTTACGTTTTTATTTTTTAAATTTTTTTGGCGGAACCGGGGATCGAACTCAGGCCCTTGCACTTGCCAGGGAAGTGCTTATTCCACTGAGCCATCTCCCTAGCAGTTTTTTATTTTTTTAATTTTTATTTTTTAATTAATTATTTGTTTATTTGGTACAGGGTCTTGCTATGCAACTT